CCCCAAAACCCCAAAACCCCAAATAGATGAAATTGATATGTCAACGAAATTTAAAGTTATATTAAAATAATCAATTCATCAATATAATCTATACTTTTAAAGTTTTAATGTTCAAAAATCACTACTTCATAATTTTAAGTAATATAAGTTCAAAATTTAGAGTACTGAGGAAATCCAAATACTCTTGCATCCTTAAAATCATTCCTCCAGAGATTTGTTTAATAATCCATGCACACTAAATCTATCATCAACTACCCCTTAATTCCATTTAGGTCTATTATATTAATATTGGATTTGTGTTAAGGCTTGTTTCTATCCGATATAACTATATCTTGATTTCCATCTTTGTTAAGATAGTTGAGAGCAATGGCAGTCAGTACAGCTGGTCCAGTGCCATATAGTGTTGAAGCTGCGGTCATATAAGAACAAGTATTCTAGTAAAATGGTCTATCATCTAGATCATCATCATGCTTTCTGAATTATTTGATCACATAATGCAAATATTTTTCTAAAAGCAAATGACCCGATTTAGAAGCAAAAAATGCATTATTTAAACCGTAAGTATTTTATGTAACTTATAGTCCAACTCCCATAAAATCGAAATAAAAATTAATGTTATAATCCCAGTGCCAAAATGTATAATCATTATCAAAATATAATCCTCCTTATTCGTACACAATTAAAACTCTAATCAAATCACTTGCAGCTGCAACTGCTCTAAGGTCTTTCATATAATATTGATATTAATTTTAAACCCTTCCATCATGGAACCCATCCAATTCCTTTAACTCTTTAGTTATTACCCCAAAATTTTTAAAAAGTTTAATTGTTTCTGGAACCTTTTGCTTATCTTGAACCCAAAGGTAATGTGACCATTTATATCCTTAGTACTGAGCTGACTAATTGAAAACTTTATATGACGTACCTAGTTATTCAACTGCATAGCTAGGCACGACGTCAGTGATTTCTTTTGGATAGTTTAGATCAGTAAGCCAAATTCTATGTGTTACTAATGGTATTTTCATTTGGTCACTTTTGTGATAAACAATCTTTTCACTTTCAAAGTATTAAGGTTGCTCTAATTGCTGGATATTTTTGAAGTAGTCTATGAAATCAATATCTTCCAGACTGCTATTTTATGCATTTAAGCTTTCTTAAATTATTTGTTTAGTTATTTCCCTTTGAACCAGGTGTTCATTTCCGTAATAAATTGTTTTTGGAAAAGTGCAAATGTCAAGAATATTTAGAGTAGTAAGAGTGAATTTTTCAGCAAACGTTAGGGTGGGCATAACTTCATAGCTCGACTTGAATATGAAGCAGTTTGCAGATAAAAGTGATGAATTGAAGGCTATAGCCACTAATAAAATGAAAATGTGCAAATTGTGTTTTTTTATCATATATACTTATCTAATACTAAAATTAATTATTCCTTGCTTATTTTTAATTTTTACTAGATTTTATTTGAGTAATTTACTTGAGATTTATTGTTAGGGGTTTTGGGGTTTTGGGG